CAGATGTCCTCTAGGACAGGGTGATTAACTGGTAAGAGAGATTCGCCATCCTAAACAGGGGCCAGTTGAGCTCAGAACTCACAGCAGGTGTGGGTTGGCTCCATCGGGGTGAGTCTGAACTGAGTTCAAGTCAGCAGGAGATCAAGGAGCCAAGTTCAATCTGGCAGCAGGCACAGGGAGTGCTGCAGTCTGAACAAAATGGGTTCTATCCTCATAGGCAGAAAGGATCCTGAGCTTCAGAAGTAAAGGTCCAGGCTTGGAGGGATTGTCCACTATCCAGCCATAAATCTATGCCTGGTTTGTTGGGAGTAATCAACATGGATCTGGAGCACTTTCAGGAAGATGGCAGAGTGATGAGTAGCAGAGAAAGAGCCTCTCTGAAATTTGGCATCCTGACATTGAAATATAGCAGTGTGAGGAGTGAAGTGACCCAGGAATGATCTGAGGCAAGAATTGAAACCTACGGGGAGAGTAAAGAGAGAGACATCAACAAAGAGGAGGGAAGTAGCAAGCAGCACTCTCTCCCAGAGCCCAGGCATTAGGAGATGGAACAATGGGGCAGATATGCAGATGCACAGTGACTACTGGTGACCCGAGGCCTGCATGGAGAAATGCAAAAGTGGAACAGAGCAGTGGACACACTGTACTTCAGTGGCTGGTGAGTTATCTGGGTTCATTCATCACCTAGGAGAGGGTGACTGGCCAGTAGCCATGTTGGAGAGGGCTAAATTGAGCTCAGAACTCAGAACAACTATAGGCTAACTCCATCTAGTGGCTCCCAGTGCCTCAGTATAGGAGCTGAGTTCAAGTAAACAGGAGGTCATGGAGCAGAGTTCAACCCAGCAGGAGACACACAGACTGCTCTGGGCTCAAGGAATCAGATTCCAACCTCATAGCCAGAACCTGGTCTGAACTTCAGAGGAACTAAAGGGGCAGGCTGGCTAGGATGATCCACTACCTCACCATGAAGCTGTGGCTGGCTTGTTGGGATTAATCAAATTGGCTCTAGACTCTGTTTACCCACATTGCCTACCAGTGACAGTAGAGACACATCTTGAATTAGACTTGTTTGTTTTTTCTTTCTCTCTCTTTTTTTCCTCCTTTTGTTTTGTTTTGTTTTTTCTTGATTGTTTCAACATGGTCTCTAGTTTTTTATTGTTGTTATTCTGTTCTGTTCTTGTTTTTATTTTTTCCTTTTCTCTTTCCCAGCTGTCTTCTTCACCAGTTTCCTAAATTTTGTCCTCCAGCCTTGCTTCTGATCTCTTCCACTTCTTCTATTTCTATTTTCCCCCGCTAATCCCCTTTAAATCTTCTCCCCTAAGGATGAAATTGCCATGTTAAGGGCTTATATATTCCATACAATTTTCAGATTTGTTCTAGTTTTCATAATATAACCACAAATCTAGTTTATACAATTAAAGTTAGCAAATTAATAGTAACCACAATTTATCATTTTCTAGGCTGTATTAGATGCTATTGTTATTGTTGATTGTACTACTTTAGCCAGGGTGACATAATTGTACTAATTTGGTTTTCCCCTGGTATACTAAAACTGAGATTGCATACAGGTCTTAAAAAAAAAAAAACCTATAGGCCAATGCCAAAGTACTGGCAGCTGGGCCAAGTAGGCAGAAACTTCTCATTCCCAATAAATTGAACAGGTAGGATCTGGCAAGACTCAAAACTCAAAGATCAGTTACACCTGGAAGACATATCTGAGAAGTAGTCATTTCCTAAGGGTTCTGAATACTTGCAATAAAGCTACTCACCATAAGCAATTTATAAGCATCAACCCAGGAATCATACTTTTAAAAAACAGAAAAAGAGAAGACACTTAAACAAGATGCTACCCCTCCCCCAACTTTCAGCTCACCAAAGGCAAACCCCATGAGCAATGAGGTAAAACAACCTGAAAGCCACCCACTTGAACTCTCAAAAGTGTTAACAGCAGGATGAAAGTAGCTCTAGAAAAATATCAAAACAGAAATAATTTCCCAGATAACTACCAAGACTGTGGCCAGGATGAAAGACATGCTTAGTGACTCTAGAGCATATATAGATTAAAAAAAACAAATAGCGGAGCTCAGGAACAAGATGAAAATCATGAATGCCCAGCATAGGAAAGAAGTGAAAACTATAAATGCCCAATGTAGAAAAGAAATGGTATCCATGAAACAGATTCAAACAGATATCCAGGAGATTAAATATTTCACTGAAGCTATAAGCAGCAGAATGACCCAATGTGAGGACAGTATATCATAAATAGAAGACATGATTGTGGTTAGTGATCACGTAAAGAGAGATTTCTTAAAAATAGCAAGGTACCATTGAAAATCAATACAGCAGCTGCTAGATTCTGCAAAGAAAAGTAACATAAGATTGATCAGAGTCAATGAAAAGGCTGGAGATAATGCAAATGACATTTTAAAGAAAAAACCTGGTCACAGAAGTAATGGCAGAAAACTTCCCAAACAGGGAAAATGAATTTGACATACAGATATCTCCAGAGCCATTCTACATAATTTTGGGGGGAAATTATTTCACAATTAAATTATAATTAGGGCTGTCTGAGGTCTAGTTTTCTTGCCTGTAGGCTGGCTATGGCATGTGGAAATGTAACTGCATTTTGCCTCTGGTCATATGGATGCCTCTATGGTCTAGTGATGCTGTGAGTCTTAAGGGCAAGATTACATCAGCTGAAGACATACTGTTTCTTTGAGAACTGTGTAGCAACACAAAAACAGAAAGAGTTCACCTGGGAAGGACAAATTCCGTATCAACTTAACTCATCCCACATGCTGTTGTGGGAACATTTTGCTCATGTCACCATCCTAAACAAAATAAGCTCATCAACCTAAGATCCTCTCATGAAAGGATTGCTGCCACCCTCCGAGTCATCTGATACTTCCTCCAATTATAAGATCCTCATAAATTAAGGATTATCACTGCTCTCTGAATCATCTAATACTCCCAATAAAACCAATAAATAGTGGCAAGATGGGTGTGTCTTTGTCTTTGCATGCTCCAAGGCACTGATCTCCCAGCCCCACATATACTTGAAATTAAGCAACTCTCTATTGTCTTTTTTTTCTTTAGCCCTCACTGTCCCCATTTTTAGGCAGTCAGAGAATTGATTGACCTCCAATAATCAAGAAATCAACCAATAAGCAGTGCGGGACACTGGGCAATGTTCCCCAGGCCAGCAGTGCTGGGCAGCTCTGACATGATGTGCTTCACCCTCACAGTGCTCTGCATGGAGAAACGAGACTTAACAAGAGAAAATATTTCAAGGACAAGGCATGGACAAGCCTCTTTCCAAGGCTAGATTCAAATAGGCAGCTGCTGCCTGGAGTTTTCTAAATAATAGGCTGTTCATTCACATGTTTTCCAGTGATCTCCCGAGGACAAAGCAGACCATCCAGGGAATTTTGGAGAAAAGCAAATTTTGCAAAGACATGACAGTAAAGGACAGAGCTGCCGAAGGCAATTCCTGAGCAAGTTACAGACCTTGGCCAAGCCCTCAGGGAAAGAATGCCCAGTGTTCACACCTCACAGAGAGCCACTGACCAGGTAAAAATGGTGAGAAAAGATTTCTTTGAATTTCTTTGTCAACTAGTTCTAAAAGAAGCAGATCAGAAAGCACAACTTTTCCCCAGAAGTTCCAAGCAACTACAGTCCTGAGTTTTGTTTGGACCGCAGCCCTCTGGGACTGGCAGCCAGCATCCTGGTTGTGGGCCACAGCACCTACATGAGGAGCCTGTTTAGCTATTTATTTTCTGACTGACCTAAAGGGCTCCTTGCTGGAAACTCTGAACAGATTGGAACTTATGGCAGTCAGTTCCAACACTGTGGTCAGCCTTTTCATCATAGACCCTGAAGTCAGGGAGAACCCATGGTCCACTGTGTTTGTATGAACCTGCAGGATCACCTGAATGGAGTCAACTGACAGGTGATGAGTTCCAGCCATGTCACAATCTTGGCAGTTTGAGGGTCTGTAGGGAGTGCCTTTGGCTTGCTTCATTTCTGTCCTCTGCTGTGCTGATTTGGAAACAGAAAAAATTCAGATTGTAAACCTCCACATCAAACAGTGATGGAAAGCCATTTTGCAATAATGTATTTTGTGTAAGTGCTGTTGACATTTTCCGCAGTAATTTTACTGCTCTACTTAATCACATCTCTGCATTGTAAGTGAGGGAGGGAGCTTACCGATTAACACAGCGTTTTTCCCCCTTTTAAAATGTTGATGCATTTTTTTAATGTTCAGTTTATATTATTGGCTCCTGGTAAAATACTGTATGCTTTTTTACATCTCACCCAGTGGTTTAGAAAAAAAAAACTCTCTGCAATTGATACAGCATATTTGTAGCTACTATTTTATATTTTTAAAGTCCTTTAAATGAAATATTATTGCCATCACAAGTTTATGTAAAGTAAGATGGTAAAAGAACACTAAATCCTTTGCCTAGAAAAAAAGAAATCAACCAATAACAAGTGCTGGGAAGGCTGTGGGGAAAGGAATCCTTCTCCACTGTTGGTAGGAGTGTAGACTGGTGCAACCACTGTGGAAATCAGTGTGGAGATACCCTTAGAAAAGTAAAACTACAGGTTCTATTTGACCCAGCAATTCCCCTTCTTGGTATCTTCCTTAAAAAATTAAAAATATCATACCACAGCAATATATGCACACCCATGTTTACAGTGGCACAGTTTGTAATAGCTAACTCTTGAAAGCAACTCAAATGCCCATTAACCAATGAATGGATAAAGAATATATGGTTTTCTTATACACTGGAGTACTACTCTGCATAAAGGATAAGCTTGAGACATTTCTAGTTAAATGAATGCACCTTAAGACCATACTCTTATGAGAGACAAATTGGACACATACGCTTATTTTTAAATTCTTATTTACTTATTTTTTTTTGAAACAGGGTCTCACTATTAGTTCAGACTGGCCTTGAACTCACTATGTAGCCTGGGCTGACCCTGAGCTCATGGCAATCCTCCTGCTTCAGCCTCCCAAGTACTGGGATTACAGACATATGAAACCACACCCAGCAGACACACTTGTTTAATACTGCATTGTTTCTCTGCAGTAAAAAACTGAAAGTGGAAATAAGGACCAAAATGTATGATACATATTGGGAAATGGGAAGAAAATGTTCAAATGAAAAGATGAACAAGAAAGGGGGGAGAGGGAAAAGAAAGAAGGGACAAGAACAGAAGAAAAAACTGGAAATAAAGCTTTTTTAAATAAGGAGCAGGAAAGGGGTTGAAGGGTGTGGGAATGGGAAAAAAGAAGCAAAATATGTCATGTACCGGTACAAATTTCTAATCATGATTGTAATCATTATGGACATCTAAAATGTACCAAGAAAAGTTTTGATTAAAAAAATGAAAACAAAGCCAATTCAGTTCTTAAAAAAAAAGAACCAAAAGAAAGAAACAAAAAAAACAAACAATACAGAGTACCCAAAAGCGATGACCTTCCACATACTCCATACATCCAAAGACCACCATTTCCAGAAATTTCACTGTTGTTAGGGGAGCAGCTGCATCAGTGTACAGCTTTCTCCACTCCAGTTGCACCAAACCCCTCCTCTCCTGGACCCACTTGAAGAGAAAGTGTAAAGATGGATCCTGGCATTCCAGACAGAGGTCCTGGTCTATGAGCACCCTTAGAGGCTGCTTTTCTGCCAACTTTGGCCCATCCTTCTTCATTTCTCTCCTCCATGTGACCTCTGGGGAACCAAGGTCCTCCAAGTTTCCAGCCCAGACCCTCCAGAAGTTTAGGTGCATGTTCCGCATATCCAATACTTGCAGTTTCCACCTCCTGTGGGCAAATGGAGAAGGCATCTTAGCATTCAGGCCCAGGCTCAGCTTTATTCCTGTGATTTACTGCTCATCCTCGATAGCAGCTTCCTTCTCTGCTCCACTCCTCTCTCTGCTTTACTTCTTACCCTTTCCCTCTTGGTTGCACCCCCATCCCCACTCTTAGTGCTCTTTCACTGCTGCCTCCTCTGTTAGCAGTCCTCCTCGTCCAGCAGCAAATACCCAGGAGGCTCAGCAGTGACTGAGACCTCTCTGATCCTCCTGGCAGTCACCATCAGAAGCCTCTGCTCCACCCTCCAGCCTCACCAGTCTCCATTACCCTTGCTGCCCCTTCCCAGATGCCTAGGGCCCTCCCTCCAGGATACCTGGTCACCCTCACCTGGGGCGAACCTTCTGAGCCAGCAGCACATCAAGCCCATCCAGCACAGCTTGAAAGAACTGCAGGTCCCATGCTGGCAGCCGGAAAATGTTCAGCTGAGTTTGGGCGATCTCTGTGTTTCTCATTTTCATCAGGACCCCCAGAGGGAGGCAGGGGAAAGGCCAAGCTGGCACCAAGGCCTTCAGGACCTCAGTGTGTCCCCTGGTGAAAGCCTCCATGAAAAGCGGTGGGAAGAGCTCCCTGGGAAGTTCCTCCAGAGCCCGGATCACCAAGTTCTTGTCCCTCAGCAGACTCTGGACTGCCAGGTCCAAAAGTGTGGGTGGAAACCAGGTCCTCATCCTCATGAATCTGCAAGGACAAGGGTTCTGGGGAAACATCCAGGAACAATTACCCTTTCACACCAGTCTGAGAAACCACTTCTCAGTCATCTCAGGACCACATTTTGAATACCCCTGAATAACCCTGTAAATAACCCTGCTATGGGAATGTAGGAGTCATTAGTTTACCCCAATTCTATTCAGTCTCTACGGCCCCAGAAACATCACTCAGTCTCTGTTGATATCAGGCTGAATGCCTCAGAGCCCAGTAGGGGCCTAGAGACCACCATTACATCCATTTCCCACCACCGCACCCTGAACTCTTGACCCACTGGTAAGTGTGAACCAAGGAACTAGAAAGTTCTTTCTCTAGGGAACAGGGGAAGGGGACGTTACCAGAACCTCTGCAGTGAGTCCTGGTCTCCTGTGAGCCACGGCAGCACTCGGCGAATTACAGGAAAGGTAGAAAAATGAGACCGAGAAGAAGCTGAGCTTTGGGTCTGAGCAGTGCTGCTCTGGACGGCAAAGACAAAAGCCCCCAGTTTACCACACCTTTTATTCAGTACCTCATAACAAATGACTTGCAGAGAATTCAGTACATCGGGAGAAACAAATGTAACAAATGTCTTGCAGAGAGTTCAATAGTTCACATTGGGATAAACAAGGTGTAACAAAAGGCTTGCAGAGAGTTCAGTACATCTCGGGTAAATGAGATGTTAACAGTCCAGGAACAACGAGGAACTGAGCAGATGTTTGTTCTCCCAGGATGTTTTCAACTCCCAGGATGTTTCGTGTCCTGGAGAATCACAGCATCACTGGATCACTGAAGTCTCAGTTGTGACGGGAGGCCAAACTGGAGTTATTCAGTAGCTGGGCTGTAGGCAAGAGAACTAGGCTAACCAAATGATTTTTCCCTAGAATTATGTAGCATTGCTCCCAACATCTTTCCCAGTGTTTTAGGGGAAATTTCTGATCCTGACTCCAAGACCATAAAACCAAGAGTATGGAATGTCATGTGGCCCAACTTCTCTAAGTTTTCAGTTCCAACAATACATGTGATTTGCAAAGATTAAAAAGACTATAAAATAAACTCCATGGGTTTTATTTCATATAATATTTTGGAATGCTGGTTGCTTCTCCCAGGCCAGAGCTGAGCAGGAGAAAAAATAGGTGCTTCTTGTCTTTCTTTGTCTGTGGGGCCCTGTGTCACACAACTGCTGATGGGGTGACAGATATTCAGTGTCATAACCATGCATAGTCTCACCAGTTACCTTGGAAACCTCATAGGATGAGAACCATCTTTCATCATAGGATGGAAATATATACATCGGGGGCTGAGGGATGTGGGGGTGAAAGTCAGGAGAGAGGCAGTGTTTTTGAAAACAGAAGAACAGATGAATGAGTTTAGGGAACAGGAAATGTTTAGGGGGCTTGTTGGAGTGGAGGGTGGGATTTAGGATTTGAAAACTTTATCTACATCAACTCTTTGCCACTGTATCTTTTTGTGACTTTAATTGAATTGTTCAAACATTATTTTCCCCATTTGTGAATGAGGTTCCCAGTTTCACCCCTTTTCCACTAATATTTTGAAAGAGGTACTACTGTCAACTCCAAATTGGACTGAGGACTTGGGGTGAGGGACAGCCAGGATTCTGCTCTCTCCAAGGGCTCCTAAGTGTCCATGGCTCTGGGATTTTCCTCACTCTTCTTACCTCTCCTCTCTCTAATGCTCTGTTTGAAGCATGTGGCTCCACTGCTACCTCCCACCCCACACCCACTGCTCCACATTGACTGAGTGAAACTCTAACTTCCACCTTTCTAGATCTCTGGGATCTACAACCCTCTGCACCCCATTTTTCAGGCTATGTCCCTCACTGGTTTCTCTGTTGCCCACACTCGCTGTCCAGCGGGGAATGTCTAGGCTTCCTAGCCTTGGGCTTTAGAGTTGCCTGTGCTGAGTGGAGGAGGGTGGGATCTGGAAGGGGATGGTAGGATGGACCAGGGTGCGACTGAAACTCCCAGGGAGGAGGAGTTTGTTCCCATGGGACAGATGGTCCATAATCATGTCTACCCCTGCCCATCTCCTTCCCTGCTGTCTGGATTCTGGGAGCTGTGTGGCCTTGGGTAGGTCACTTAACCTCCCTCACTTCCATCTGCAAGTGCAGATGACACATTAGTACCTCCCTCATTGGGCACTGGCATGTGTGGTTAATGGCCAAATTCATTTAGGGAAATGCTGGCACTGCCCACACATGGTTGCTGGTATCCTGCTGTAGGCACTTGTTAGTGCCTAGCCTCACCCTGAAATCTCACTTAAGCCTTCAAATCCCTCTTGCTGTTATCTTCCCACCTCCTTATGTCTCACATATCCCATTAATACAATTTGAAGAGGATTATGTGTTTATTACAAAGTTCAGAGACTACAGGAAAATAATGTCCTTTCTCCATTCAAGCCCTCTCTCTGATTACTGCACATTTCATGTGGTAATCTGGGGGAAGACACATAATGACAATATATAGCATTCGCTGGGCGTAGTGGCATGCACCCCAAATCCTAGTACTTGGGAGGCTGAGGCAGCAGGATTGCTGCAAGTTCTAGGCCAGCCTGGACTACATAGTGAGTTTAGAATCAGCCTTAACTACAAAGCAAGACCCTGTCTCAAAAATACTGAAAATAAAATTATAAAGCATCTTAAATTTAGGATGGAAAATGCTGACTTGTAGATTTTCACACATATCTTTTACACGTCTGAAATTTACCATTTGGGGATATAGTTGGTAATGAAACGCATCCACTCTTAAAAAGAGTGCATAAACTGGGCATTGGGTCACACACGGTGTGATCCCAGCTGAGGCAGGATGCAGCTGTGTGTTCTAGACCAGCCTGGGCTGCACAGTTACTTCCAGACCATCCTGACCTATCTAGTATGACAAGGTCTCAATAAATAAATAAATAAATAAATAAATAAATAAATAAAATTATCGCATAGAATATTTTTGGAGGGAGGGGAGTGGGCTGAAGACAGTCTCACTGTATTTCAGGCTGGTCTCAAACTCCCCATGTAGCCCAGACTGGCCCTGATCTCATCGTGACCCTCTTGCCTCACCATCTTGAATGCTTACATTACAGTCTTGTGACAGCACACCCATTTTGGAGAGAACATTTTTAAGCTTTTTGGTTCAAAGGAATATCTAACTTATCAGTTCAAAAAAATCTCAAAGTTCTTAAAAAACACAAAGTTTATGATCAGTTATTTTAGGGAACACAATCTAAGTATTTAAAAATCCATGGTTCAGGTCTGGTGGTGCGTGGGCCTGTAATCCTAGCACTCTAGGAGGCTGAAGCAGGATGAACACAAATTGCAGTACAGCCTAGGGTATTTGGTAGCTTATCAAGGCCTTTTCTCAAAACAATTTAAAGGGCTGGGCGTGCTGGGTGTGGTGGTGCACACCTTTGATCCCAGCACTGGGAAGGCTGAGGTGATAGCCATGAGTTAGAGGCCAGCCTGGGCTACATAGTCACTTTAAAACCAGTCTAAATTACTGTAGAAGACTGTTTCAAAAAAAGTCTGGTGATGTAGCTAAATTTCAATCCTGGACAACTTGAATACTCAGCCAGACACTGTTTCAAAATAGGGTCACCTTGAGTTCAAGTTCAAGGCCAGCTAGACCTGCATAGTGAGACCTGGTTTCAAAAGAAAAAAAAAGAGCCCAGCATGTCGGCAACATGCTTGTAATCACAGCACTCAAAAGGCTAAGCCTAGAGAATCACTGCTAGTTCGAAGCCAGCCTGGGCTACATAGTGAGTTCAAGGCCAGCCCTTAATACAAAGAGAGACTTTGTCTCAAAACTCTAAAAAAAAAAAAGAAAGAAAGAAAGACGTGAAAATGTAGCTAAATTTCAATCCAGTCTGAGCAACTTGGAGACTCAGTGAGACCTCATTTGAAAACAAAAACCAGAGCTAGGCATTGTGGCACACACCTACAGTCCCAGGACTCAGGAGAGGCTGAGGGTGAAAAATCAAAAGTTTGAGTTCAACCTGGGCACTTAGCAACTTACTGAGAATCTGTCTCAAAACTGAAAATCAAAAAAGGGCTGGGAAAAAAAAAGGGGGCTAGGGTGTAGCTCAGTGAAAAAGCTCTAAGTTCAAATCCCATTATCATACACAAAAAAGTAAACATGCTCTGTAATATAGTTTAGTTTATGGCCACTAGTTCTAAGACCTCTTACAAAAAACAAAGAAAGAAAAGAGTTATGAGGTAAAATTTTAACTACTTTTTAAAAATATACTTGGCTAAAACAGCTGGGTGTATTAGCACACACCTTTAATCCCAGCACTTGGGAGGCTGAAGCAAGAGAATCACTGAGAATTCAAGGGCAACCTGGATGACATGGTAAATTCTAGGCCCGCCCAAATGGCATAGCTAGACTCTGTCTCAAGAAAACTGAAAACCAGGGCTAGGGATTTAGCTCAGTGGTTCCGGCACCTGCCTTGCAAGCGCAAGGTCCCAAGTTTGATCTCTGGTACCAAAAAAAAAAAAAAAAAACAAAACAAAAAGAAAATTAAAAACCAAAACTAAAAGCATACAAAAACCAAAAACAAAGAATTTTTTAAATAACATAATAAGAAAAATGCAAAACTACATTTTGAGGTAAAATCAATGCCTCACATGTATTCATCTGAATGTGTAGTACAACTGAATGTACGGTGCAGGTCACCATGAAAGACTAGCTGAGGACACACAAGATACATGTCCTCCAGAGGAGCTGACTCACCAGAGGCCTATAGAGTTGGCCAGGTGCTCAGGGATCCCAGGAAACCAGGCAGCAACTCTGGGCTCTAGGATACTGGGTGGCTCCTCAGGAATTTTTATTGACTTTCCCAGTATTGCCCTCCTTTTCTAGTTCCTGCTTTCCAATCAGAGTGTAGGGTTTTGGAACTCCACCCACTTAAACCTGACTGACTTTTCAGTTTTCTTCTTAGTAATTGATTCAATCCAGTGTTTCTTTTTGAAGGAAAACAATTAGGGACAGGATAAATC